AGCAACACAGGGTTCCACAAAAATAAGAATTGAGAACTTAAAGGAGATCATCACGATCTCATGCTGATGTTTATATTAAAGAGTTATTATTTGTGTCTTTGGAAACAGTAAGATTCTAAGATCTTATCTGTGATTTTGGTTCTGCACCTGTTATATTCTCAGAATCTACAGCATCCTTAGTCCAGTTTAATGTCTAATAAATTAACCAAAATAGGTCATATTATGAGAGAAGCACAGTAGTTTTTATAGACATGATTTAAGTCAGTCAGTACAGTGATTTAAGAGTCCTTGAAGATAAGTTTTAAAACAAGAAAAAAAAACCATTGAAATGATAATTTAAGGGAAAACGGATTTAACCTAGTCTCTTTTCACATGCTATGTATGACCTAATTTTAAAATAAAGGGATTAAAATAAGGCTAGATGACAGTTTCTAAGGAAAACATCCACTTGTATACCCCCAAGCCCTTGCTTTTTATTTAGCCCCTTGGCGCCACTTTACTGACCTGCTCTAACAGTTACAATTAGGACGCCTCCTGATAGAAGTCTGGTCTTTGATCAGCTCTTTCTCTGTGCACACTCTAAGCTAAGCAGGACGTGCATTTGTTTTCTTTTTTTTTTCTGTTGTTCTGGTGACGATCTTGTGCTGGGTCCCCAAAGCCTAATGGCATAGATTTTCTTAGATTAGTAGAAATGTTGGCTTTAAATTCATTTTTTCTATTTCTGTGCAATTTAATATTTAAATGGTTCAAATTTCAAATGTACTTTTCCGTGTGAACAACAGCTTTTTAGCTCCCCCTCTGGGCTACTCCCATGTGCTGGGCGGCCTCCTTTTGGCCCCCAGATCCACTAAGCTTGCCTTCCGCTTTGACCCCCAGGGGCAAGTCACTCAGCTCCCTTGCCCTCCCTCCAGCTTCCATCTGGATTCAGCCATGGGTGGCGTTGACAAGAGATCAGAGGGCAGGAGGAGAGAAGGGTTGGTGTGTTCGTTCCCCTTGCTTCTTCCTTGTGGGTCCCCGGTTTAACAGCGCTTCTGGGGGCAAGACCTCAGGCCCTTGCTAGCTGTCCTTCGTCCCTCCAGGCCCAGGGTGGGAACCTGCCCACTATCACTGGCCCTCGGTGCCTTACTATTCCTTGGTTTCCCTCCAGGCCACGTGAATAGTCCCTTCAGTCAATCCTCCAATTCTCCTGGGTGTGTCCTCTGTTTCACGTCAGGATCCTGGCTGATATAACCTTGTATTGAAGTAGGTATTAACGTTACTGTGTTTTACAACTGGGCTATGTTTCTAATTTTTTCTCCCACTTAAAGACTTAGTTGGTATGTGGGAGGTTGCAGTGAGGTCAGAGCCTAGTAAACAGTGAGGGTAGAGAATCAGAGGTACTGAGTATTACATTTCCAGCTCACTGTGGAAATCCAGCCAGCCTTTCAGTCTTTTTGAATTCCAGTTATTCACACAAGTGAGTAATTGTAATAATAATCATATGAGAATTCATTCTTTATCTTCACAGTGCTACGTGAAATCTTTTATAAAGTTGCTTATATGTTTCCTCTGCGTGGTTCTACTTATTTTCCAATAGGACATCATATCCTCGGCTAACTAACTTTACAGAGTCTGTGGCATGGGATGAGGGGGCAGTGGGGGAGAGCTGGGGCTTCCTTTTTGGCCACCAGTAACTCACCTGAAATCCTGCAGGCTGTGTGGTTTCTTTTCTCTCCCTTTTGTAACGTTCTGTGATTCTGTGATCGTGGGATGTGGGAAGAGAATTTTAAAATAGGCTGGCACTGGGAAGGCAGACGTACGCACGGGCGAGAGGTGCTCGCTTTCAGGTCGGAACCTCTGCTCACCTGTGACAGGTCCTGTGTTTTAAGTTGTTCTACCCGGTCTGGGATGATGCTGGGGGATGGAGAGAAGGGAGGAGGAAAAGACTGGGAGAGAGATGTCTCTTCTTGTAACTCCTGTGGATGTTAACGTATTTCAACTTGGCTCTGCCTCCAATGACTAGAGCCCTCCTACTTTCTTTGTCTCCACTACTGTCACCTTAATTCAAGCTGCTGTCCTCACACATCTGGACTGCCGTGTGTTCTCCTAAACGGCCTCTCAGCAACCTGCCTCCCCCTACAATGCTACAGTTCATCCTCCTCTGGGCAGAGCTGAGGGATCTCTTTAAAAGTGTGTCATGTCGCTCTTCTACTCACAGCTGCCAGCATCTCACCGTCAGACTTGGTCCTGTCTCGTCTGGAGACTTAGCAGCGGCCTGGCGCCTCCTCGCTCCTGCGTTTCTGCCAGACTGGCTTTCTCGCTGTTCCTCCAGCACACCTCACCTATTCCCATGTTACGACTTGCATGCACACTGCCGTCTCTACTGGACTCTCTCTCTCATCTTCATATTTTTGCCTCTCTTAAAATATTTATTTATTTATTTGTCTGTCTGTTTGCACTGGGCCTTAGTTGAGGCACGTGGGCTCCTTAGATGCGGCATTTGAACTCTCAGTTGCGGCATGCATGTGGAATCTAGTTCCCTGACCAGGTATCAAACCCGGGCCCCCTGCATTGGGAGCGTGGAGCCTTATCTTCCCTGTACCACCAGGGAAGTCCCCTAAAATATTTTTTATATAGACTTGTTGAGTGAAAATCTTTACCTTATTTTTTACTTCTCCCCGTTGGAACATTAGTTCTACAAGAGCAGTGCGTATTTTGTTTATTATTTTCGCCGTGCCTGATACATACAGTCATTCAAAACTTTTTGGAATAAATGAATGTAGTCAACCCCCCCGCCCCCCGCCAGAAATTACCCCCGTAGGAACCATCTGTGATAGAGGCATTGTGTTGTGCTCTTACTGCGGTGCTCTTAGTCAGGAGGCTGTGCAAGATCATACCAAGAGCACAGTTGGCATAAACTCCATCCCTTTCACAGTTGGTTATTGGAATGCATTACAAATTAGGTCTCTATACCGTTAGGTCTATATTCCACTCAGGGAAAGAAATAAAACAATTCCAATTCAGTTTAATATTTCCGGAAAACCATGACCATCTAGCTGATTTGTCATGGAGAGTAAAAAACGAGTAATTTTTATTTACTAAAGGCATTTAGTACAAATTTTCTTATCTGTCTTATTTTTTACTTGTTTGGTTAACAGTAAAATACTCTTAAATTGTTTTGTCTAAGTAATTTTGATAGTGAAATCTAAAGGATAACTAGGTTATAAACTTTTCAACCCTAGTAGTAGCAAATGCTACCTACAGAATTATATCCAGTGAGAAAGTTGGCTCCACATGCTTTCCAGTGCCCAGTTCTATTAACATTTTTTCATAGATTTATGAGATAAGAAATCTTTTTGGAGATAAAGCTTATTACAATATTTAGCCAAAAGAAATAAATGCTGATTTTTTTGTCTGTTTGAATGAGATTGAATTATTTCTATCTCATGAAATAATTATTTGTTAACAAAATAATAGGGTTTTTTTTCATGTTCTCTTTCTGTTTAAATGAATTTATCTGTTGAGCAAACAGATAATATACTTGCTGCTTTAGAAGCCCAAATCCAGAAATAAATATTCTTCTTTTAAACCACAAAGTGCTTAGGAAACTACCTTACCAGGAAACCATGGGGTTTCCTGATCATTTTAAGGGATTTGCATCTTCACATGGCATCTGTTTTGGGGTCACAGGATGGGTACATGTAAGTCTCATTGATGTTTTTAAAGTTATCTAGGCTTCCCTGTTAGAGACATGGTACCCTTTTGACATGTGTCCTTAATGAAAAGTAAAGTTATAGAAGATGCCATTTAATTAGGCTAATGGGCTAAATGAAATTGGCTGATGGGAAATGAAAGAACCTTAAGAGTGATTGGCATCAAAGGAACCTGCTTTAGGGAACACCACTAAATCAGAGACTCTGCCCACGCGACAGACAGATGCTCTTATTATGCTGTGGGCCTGGTGGGTAGGCTCAGGACCCAGGCAGTACCGTGCCCACAGATGGGGATTGTCTGCGCACCTCCAGGAAATAAGGCGGCCTTGAGTAGCAGTGGAGTCCTCAGACGCATTAGAATTTAGGTAGGAGTTGGAATTATGACACCTTCTCACTTGTTATGTGGTTTTGTGTCTTTCTCGATAATTTGCCTTTTATTATTATGTAATTTGCTTTGTAAAAGTTAATGTCAGTAATATTAAAAGCTCTTAATAACTTGTACTTAGTGCCACCATTAAGTGTAGACTTCATTTAGGGTGACCTCATGTCACTAGACCAGATGCATTAAAATTATAGGGGATATGTCTGTTTGAATTCTTTTAAGCATTTTTTATCTGTCTCCAAGAGGAAGTATTAAACCAAACCATATTTAGAATAAAAAATCAGACCTAGAACACATAGTTGTGAGTGCAAAGCAATTGAAAAGAAAACTCCTTTCAGTTGGAAAGGTGGAGCTTGTAAAATGTTTGGAGACATCACATTTCTCTGCAGGTGGGGAGATGGGAGAGAATTCTGGAAAACTACATCTACTCTGGCCTTGTCTTGAGCCAGTTATACCTTGAAGAAATCGTTTCATTTATTTGCACCTCAGATTTTCCTTATATAAAATGAATGGATTGGGACTTTTTTCTTCAAGGTTTCTTCTCACTCTAAATTTCCAAAATTCCATGAAAGTCAAAATCTGGTCTGTGGCAGTAAAATATAGCAGGGGATTTAGATGGTATCAGGGCCGTGCCCACATAATATTTTATTTCAGCAGTAACAACCAGGCAGCAGGAACACAGGATATACTCTTCGTGGAACTAGGGACAGAAGTGACTGATGTTCTTACAATTAAAGCTACACGGTTCTTTAATTCTTTATTTTCTTGCCTGTTAGCTGTATCTGCTCTGTAACGCTATCGTTCCCCCATCAGGAAGCGATGCCCACTTTAGGCCTCACTCACTCCTGAAAATACAGAAGTCTTTCCAGTTGTTCTTATAAATTTGCAAATGCTGCAGTGACCAGTTTTATATTATTGTGTTCTAGAGACCGTGTCATTGGTTTGATGATGACTGCCTGTGATCTTTGTTCTGTGACAAAGCTGTGGCCAGTAACAAAACTGACGGCAAATGATATATACGCAGAATTCTGGGCTGAGGTATGTCCTTGATTTTTATATGAACATAGATAATAAGAAATCAGAAACAACTGGGAAGAAATTAAATATAAGGATAATTTAGTAACAGTATCTTAGTTGCTTATGTTGCTGGTTACTTAAAAAACTATTGTTTAGCATTTATACAGGTATGAAGTAAGAACAGTCATTCTTGTTACATCTGACTTGATATGTGTGTAAACTCTCTGATCTCCACTGAAATAGTTCAGGAACTGATTCCCTGAACAGTAGTGCAACAGTTTTCCCTATTTAATAGCCAATCTTTTGTCATCCATCCAATAAACTGTATTAGGCCATCTCCTTTATGGCAGCTGCTGGAAAACGTACTAAGAGGGACCCACAATATCACGGGCTTTATGTGCCTGCAGCTAGAAATTCGAGAGACTAATCACGTTGTACCGTAGAAACTGAGATTATGTAAATATACCAAATGGTCAGTTCAGCTGCAAATTATGAGTTCTGTAGAATATGTGGGATGTTAATCCATGAATTCCTGACATGTGAAACAACCATGTGAATTACTTTCATGAATACCCTTTCTAGACTGAATTATCCAAATGATCAGAAACATGTGTTTACTCCTAGACTTGCCATGAGTAAGTAGAATGTAATTCTCTTATTCAAATGAATCCACAAATACTTAGATCCCTGCATGTTCGAAGATTATGGGGAAAAAAAACCTGTAAAGTGTTTGTGCACCTCATTTGTTCTGAAGAAGTAAAAGTAAGTCTGGAGGAGGGAAAAGTTCCGTAGTTGATGGTTCAAACCATAAGAAACAGTAAATCATTCAGCTAACGATTAGTAGAAATAGTCTACAATGTTGATCTGTCTTATAATTGTAAAGCCAAAGAATTTTTGGTGGGTGAGGACCACGGGCCTTGAGTTGAATATACTCATGGTGTTACTTCTCAAATAACACAATGCATACATTGTGTAGTGTAGGCATCCTCTTGCATGGTTCTTTTTTTTCTTTATTTTATTGTGTGTGTGTCAAAACCTAGTTACTATCAGACTCAGGAAGATTGTTTTTAGATGTACATGTCTGAGCTGTAATGTTTGACTTTATTATCACAGTCAGCTTAATTTGCATGTGTGTCTAAAAGTAGTAACCTAGAATTAATTCTATAAATACCACATAAGAAAACTTGTCTGAAGCTAGCGTATTTTGCAAATACTTTTACTTATTTAACTATGACATACTTCATACCACAACAACTATATCTGTATTCTAAAATACGAATCGAAATGTGAGAGACGTGTAGACTTTTTCCCGTTCTATTCCCCGTTGGTTAAACAGTCCACAGGGAGCGATTAGCTGCCAGTATGCTCATAGATGACGTCTGCAGGGAGCTCGCGGGGTGGAAACAGAAACGTAATCACCCAGTCTTGCCAGCTGATCTCCTGGACGTTCATAAAGTCCACGCTTCTCACCTCAGCCCCGCACTCTCTCCCACTTCTTCAGAGCTTCAGCAGATCCCGCCTGGGTTTTACTGCAACATCTAACTGGGCTCCTTGCCTTTATCTTTTTTTTTTTTTTTTTTTTTGTGGTATGCGGGCCTCTTACTGTTGCAGCCTCTCCCATTGCGGAGCACAGGCTCTGGATGTGCAGGCTCAGCGGTTTTTTTGCGGTACGCGGGCCTCTCACTGTTGCGGCCTCTCCCGTTGCGGAGCACAGGCTCCGGACGTGCAGGCTCAGCGGCCATAGCTCACAGGCCCAGCTGCTCCCGCGGCACGTGGGATCCTCCCGCCCCGGGGCACTAACCCGCGTCCGCTGCATCGGCAGGCGGACCCTCAACCACTGCGCCACCAGGGAAGCCCCCTTGCCTTTATCTTTGAAAATCAGTGTAACAGTGATTGAGAGTATAGTCTCTGGTGTCGTGTTGCTTGAGATGAAATCCTTGCCTTAGTACTGAGACTGAGCCCTCAGGCCAGTTCTCTGACTCATCTCTGTGCTTCGGTGGCCACGCTTGCCGGTTCAGGACGACTTTAATTCTGTTTATGTCAGTACCACACCTCCCGTCTTCCGTCTCTCCACGCTGATATGATAAAGATAAAAATCATGTGCTCGATGCAGCAAGCCCTCTGTCTCTCCAGGCTCTCTCACGTTTCAGCCCCTCTGTGCTCTGGGTCCCTTACCGTGCTGTGCAGTTTCATCTGCCTGGGGCTCCCTCCCTCACCCCTGCAGCCCCTCCCCCCTGAGCCCCAGACACCCCTGTGCTCCTGCACACACGGTCCATGGTGTCCCGTTGTTTTCCTCATCAGCATCAATCCTTATTCGGGTACATATTCAAATCACTGCTTATTTTAAATCTTTTTATATGTTGGGCTTGTGAAATCCTTGAGCAAGGGGCCTAGTTATTTTCATTCACTTAGGACAGAAAGGAAAAAAAGCTTGAGAACTACCGCTGTTCATATTTAAAGCAACGACACCAGAGCAAACTCTATACTTCAAGTGCCTTTACGTAGTCAAGGCAAGTGTCTTTGTCCTGTACACAAACATTCTTAACAAGAGTTATAGTAATTTGTCTCTAGACCTTATCTTGGCACATTCAGGGTGGTTTTAGTTGTTCGGTGCTTTGGATTTCTGAAAACAAAGCACAATTAAAATAAAATAATAAAATAATTAAGAAATGTGAGGGAAGAGTGTGAGGTATTCAGGAAAAATTTTAACAATCTTTAACCTTAAAAAATAAATAGAAACAGTAAGGTAATTTTTAAAATCTAGAAAACGGGGATAATAATATCTAACTCATAGTATTTCATGAAGATTGAGTGAAATAATAGTACACGTTGCCTAGCCAGAGCCTGCGATATCGTATGTCTTTAATAAACATCTATAATTTTTAACCTTTATGCTGATGTCTAGCCAGTTATACTGTATCTTTACTGACATGTTTTAGTAGACTATTGTTTATTACTGATGTATCAATATTCCTCTTTAAAGCCTAGCTCCACCGGGTGCATTGCATGTGAAAAATCATCTGAAGAACAGAGATAAAGACCTTGAGGTTATTTCACATTTTGTTCTTGTGTTCCACCTCACACATTTATCTCCTCTTATTACTAACTGTCACTAACTTCAACAAAATGAAACCAGAAGAGATGGCCAGGTTTCTGGTAACTCAGTACAGGAGAGGAATATCAGGATAAAAACCTGCAATAATACGTCACATTTTTTATTATTCTGACATTTGTTTGGGTCATTAAGGAGCAACATTATTCATTTTGAAGAAAATTAGCGAACAAAGGGAACCACTCATTAACACCAAAGTTTTATAGCCGTTTATAAAATTGAGAGATGAGCCTCGTTTTCCCCTGTGTCTCCCAGGGCGATGAAATGAAGAAGCTGGGAATACAGCCTATTCCCATGATGGACAGAGACAAGAAGGACGAAGTCCCACAAGGCCAGGTATGAATTGTGTTGTAAAGTCCAATCGTTTTCCAGTGGCCATAACAGGGGATATGAGTAAGAAGCATACGCAATCTTATAGGACCTGGAACCACCTGAAATCTTCATTTAGACGGACTTGGAGCATAGTAAGACCACGGATGGGAAATCCTAGCTGGATCTAAAGGATTCACAGCTAGCCTTGTCATCATCACCTCTTCTGCGGATGAAATTGCAGTCAATTGCAGGCTTTCTTTTCTTACTTGACATAGAGGGGGTGGGTGAATTTGAATTGTTGATATTTTTAACAAGCAGAAAATATTTTGTCATCAAACGTACAAAGATATTTTTTTGGAGAATAACATTATAGATTTTGATGAGGTCCACTTTTCCTAACAAATAATGCGTATATTTTAGTACATTTTGAGTTTTGTCTTACCATAAACTGGCACTCATTATTCTCTTTTCAGGTCTTGCTACATAATTTATGCTAATTTTTGATGTTTCGAGAGCTCTTGTGCCTTGTTAGTTTTGCATGTGTGCATGTGTGGTGTGATATATTCCTTTTATTATGATCCTTTTAAACTCTCAATCTTCTAACATCATAATAAGGATGTTAGTTATGGACAAATAAATATAATACAAAATTCAGTTTAGAACACATTTCAGAAAATTCACAAGATGAAGGTTTTGGATAAGTTCTCAAATTTTCCTACTTTATTAATTTAAAGTTAAGTTATTAACTCTTAATACAAAAGTTTAAGCTTGTCCACAGCTCTTGGAGGGCACAGCCCAGCGTTGTCTCTGGGGAGCAGTTTACTTGTTCGTATCCTTAACCAGCTCTTCTAGCAGGAGGCCCACTTTCCGTCTCTGCTGACTGCGTACTGACATACCTACCACGCATGTTGCAGGTGGATTTTGCAGTTTAGTTTTATTTTAACATTGTTTGTGGAACTTTCCCGTATAGGTAATCACAGTGATTATTCTTTCCTGTCTTGTGCCTGCTTTTCATGTCACACTGTAAAAGTCCTGTCCCACCCTGAGATTATATAAACATTTGCCTATATTTTCTTCAGTTATTTATTTTATTTCATCACTTTATATTTAATTTGTTAATTCGTTTGGAATTTATCTTGTTATATGGATAAGATAGGGAGTTGATGATGTTAGCTTTTCCTTGTAAACAGCTGAGCAATCATCCCAGTAGGGTACATAAGAGAACTGAAGATGTCGCCAGGGAATGAACTTTGTTCTCATGTTATTTCATTAAGAGTAGTATGTTTCTGCCAAAATTCCAGATCCATTTATAGTATTAGAGAATTTTAAATAAAATATTTCTGTGGTCAGCTAGTATTTTACCAAATATATTGCTTCTGACTTGAGATTACTATGAAATTATTCTTCGCCATAAAAATAAAAGACTCTATTCCCAGTAATTAGCCTCTCTCTCGAGACCTTCTGCTCCATGGCATCTGCTAAATATTGACATAAGAATGTCTGTGCGTGAACTGTAAAGTTAAAAATGGAAATGCATTTATTCTAGCAAGATGACTGTGGCGATAGGCTTTATAACAGGAGAAAAAGCAGCAAGGAACCACGTAGATTTGACTCTTCTATGTTCCTTGGTGTGTCTCACCGAAATTCAGTTAAGAAACTGGTAAGCCGTGGTTTGCCGGTCACTTTATCTAAGGAGCCAGTTTTATCTTGTACATGTAGCCAGACAGTCTGTGTTCTCTGGTTAATCATCCAGCAGCTCTTTTCCATGTGGCCTTCAAAGGCCAGTCAGGGCCCTCATCACTTATGTGCACAGTGGCCCAGAATAATTCCTAATAAAATCTTTAATATATTTTTAAAAGTATCACAGATTAAAAACTTTAAATTCCGACATACTGAGAGAGCTGTTACCTGAGAGGGCTATGCTAAAGTCAGTGAGATTTGTCGTAGGTCAAAAAAAGGGAGGGAGGAGATGAAAGAAATTTCAGGAAACCCAGTGAGGTACCAAAGCTAAGAGTAACAAACGAGACACCCAACAGTGGGTGATTCCTGAATATTAAGTTGGTGAAGAGTCACCCATGTAGAAGAAAAGCAGATTTGACTTTGAAAAATGCTTAGCACTTAAAGTACTAAACTTGACCAGAGATGAAAAATAGGACCTGAATTATAACTGATCTATAAATAGAATCCCATTGAATATTGTACTTGGGTTTTAGATTAACTTCTTCTTCTGTTTTAAATTTTTACGTTTTATTTTGTGAATGCATTGTAATGAATTTTTAACTGTAATCTGCGGTAGTGTTCCTTGAGCCAAAGATTACTTAGCAAAACCAGAACATTTAGTTTTTTAGGTAGGCTTGAGAAGTAGAAAATTCACTTGAGGAATATAGTGCTCCTAGAATTGCTAATGTGCAGTTGTGTTTCTTGTCCGTGGCTTTTGCGCTGAGGCAGCTTGGATTCTACAATGCCGTGGCCATTCCCTGCTACACCACTCTCACCCAGATCTTCCCGCCCACAGAGCCTCTCCTGAAAGCCTGCAGGTATGCACAGTAGTTCAACCTGTGATGCTATTTTTTAAAAGATAAGAAATGTATAGGATTTTATCTCCAAGTGTATATGTGTCTTCACTACAGTTTACAATAAATGGGCTGTGTGTTTGCCTATGTAACAAGTATACATCACGAGTATTTATTCATAAAGTTTTGAAGTTTTGTTTGTTTGTTCGTTTTTATGACTCAGAGGTCCCCGCCCAATGCCGTTTTGAAGGAGGCAGTAGTGTCTTTTCTGGGCTGCTGGTTTGGAAAGGGACCCAGCTTAAAGCACACAGTTTACCGTTTGAATGGAAGAGATGGAATCTTGAATGGCATCTTCTTTGAGTTTGATTTTCTTCCCCAAAAGAAATGCAAGCCATCAACAGTTGATCTGTTCTAGCTCAGACCTCTCTGTGTCCTCTGATCATCTTTTTGGAGGGCTAAACTCAGCTAAGAACGTTGGAAATGCTTTAAGATTTTCATCTTACTTTGAAAGGAGGTTCCTTTGGGGAAGGCAAACGGTGATGAGCAACGGCTGTGTGTGTTGATTCTCTGCAGGGGAATTGGTTTCGACACGAGTTTTCTAGCCACTCAGCCAGAACCACACTGAGGGGCTGGAGTGGATGCCCCGTTGAGGGGCGGAGAACAGACGTGTGACGGGATATTTGTACACAAATGCCGAGGATTTAGCTCCCGCCCTCTGCCGTGGGAACGCATCTGATGAACTCATTCTTTAAGGAAAACGAACTAACAAGCAAGAAAATGTTTCAAAGATCCTGCTTTTTCCTATTTAAGTGATTCTCTTTCTTCTCTGCTCCTGTGGAGATGAACAGAACATCCCAGTGTATTTTGTTGCACCATCACTGACCTTAATCAGTGGCTAGTTTCTGAATATATTATCTTATTGCCTAAGGGCTCAGCCATGTGGGCAGTTTGCAGTGTGAGTGAGTATTCATTCTTGACGGAGTCAGGTTGGAGAAATGAATGTCCCACCAAAGCCAAAAGAGAATATCAATTGAAATCCAAGCAGCATGTTGTAAAAAAAAAAAAAAAAATAGATGCAGGCATTACTCAGAAGTTCTTTTTGTCCAAAAATTCTCTGTATTTGCACTAAATATTTAGAACCAGCAGAATGAACACTTGCTATTATTTTCAAGCTCTGGGATTGTTATTCGGCTGTCTCAGCAGTTTTGATGCCTTCTTGCTACTGTGGACTTGGCTAAACCGCATAATCCCTTAAAACCCATTTCAATATGATTAAAACTTGAAAAATTCATCATGTATCATTGTATCCAAGGAAACACAGCAAAGTTAGTGGGCGTTTTTTTTCCAATATATTAAAAAATCTCTTCAGGTTCTGGGAAAATGATACCTGATGACATAGGACAAAAGCTAAACTGTTACATTTTTCAGGTTATATTTTAGGGGTTTCTTTTTTCCAAAGGTATCTTAGCAGGTCTTCTTTGCACGAATTGTGTGTTTGCTAACGCTAAGGTTCCCTTCTGATTTTGACTTTGTGAGTGAGAAAGCAAGGTGCAAGATGGGGAATGTTGACGAGGCCTCTGCGAGGTTAGCCGGGCCAGCAGGGTGGCGGTCAGGCAGCGGGAGTTCTCACACCATCAGAGGAGAGGAAGATGCTGCAACCCTTGAGCTGCAGATGCTGAGGGGGGAAGGTAGGAGGTGGGGGAGTGAGGCTGTGTTTGAGACTAGAGGCCACCGGAGCGCAAATACAACCTCGTATCGAGGAACTTCCAAAAGTTTGTAGCAAGTGTAACTTACGGTGCCTTTCTAATACATGACACGGTGTTCAAAGTAAGGCTTCTCCCCGGTCTCGCGTGTGGGGTGAAGGGGATGGAGCCGCCCCGGGGGGACACACGCTTCCCCCCATGGGGTGGGAAGGCCTGGCCGGAGGTGTCATTGGTGGATGAACTTGCGGCTCCGGTCCCCCTTCCACCCTTTCCTCCCATCCCGCGTGTCCTCGGTGGTCACCCGTTGGCTCAGTCCCCTTTTCAGTGAATCCCAACTAAGAAACGAGCTGGTGGGACGGGGCTTTGGTGGTTGAGGCTTCTCTGAGGAGACTGAGCTGTGGTGCCGAGTCGGGGGACAGGCTGGGAGCCTGCAAGCTGGTTATAGTCAAGGTCACCAGAGTCAAAACGACACCCCAAAGCCATCAGGCTGAGTTATGCCACAGGATGGTGCGGATGCTTGTTGGGACAGAGTCCAGAAATCCTTTTCTGAAACAGCCCCTGTCGCTGCATCTCTTATTCCAGGAATAACCTGAGCCAGTGGGAGAAGGTGATTCGAGGGGAGGAGGGTGCCGCGTGGATCTCGAGCCCGCCGGCGGCCCAGGGGACCTCGGAGAAGCTGCCCGTGAAGATCGATGACTGATGGCCGCCCCTGAGCCCTCCCACCTGAAGATGTTCATCTTGCTTCTTTGACTTTTCTTCCTTTTATTTTTGTGGGGGGAACCTACACCTGGTAACTGGGATGCAGACCTCTTCAAGAAGGTACCATCAAGTAAACACATCCAGCAGACGGCTCCCTGCCAGGCTCCTCTGTACTGCGTCACAGACGGTGATCAGCCAGGACCAGTAATCCGCAGCCCCAGTGACTCCTTGTGAACTGGCCTTTTCTAATGGGCTAATATAGCTGAGGCCTTAATGGAAACGGACAATTGTTCGGAAAGGGGTACTTTTCCGCTGTATCTTTCCAGTGAGGGTTAAAACGGTACTATTAGGATATTGTACTTTGGCTTTAACACCAGTGTTGCTTTGATGTTGTTGGTTATAAATAGGAACCTTTACATGTTACTCTTGTGGATGTTCATGTGTGACCTACTTGTAATTAGTGTGAATCATAGCAGACAGCCTCAGACACGTGGCATCGAGGTTACAGAGTAAGAAGCGCCTTTCTGCAAATCAGTGATGGAAAGTCGATTCGTCCTCAGAGCCTCATGAATTAAAAGTTAGGTGGACTTAAAGCGTATTCTGTAAGCTTATACTACAGGGCTTAGACGAATAAATTTAACACTAACGGAAGCAGATTTTCTATCCCCTTGAGACGAGATGCAGCTATACATCATACTAAATCTCAGAAATCCAAGTATCAATTCAAAAAATGTCAGAGAATATTTTTTCTTTATTTTTTTTCTTTATTGTAGTCTTGGCAAATTTCCTAAACCCTTTACATAAAGAACAAAATAAAAGCAAGGCACACAATTTTTTTTTCCAACGGACAAGTCTTACGGATGTAAAATGTGAATTTTTAACAATGATTCTTTGATGTTTTCACTTGATGTCATTGCAAAATCTTAAACTCACATTCCAAGTGAAAGGGTTGTTCTACAGATTATTTAATGACAAGACCATACATTTCTCCTAAAATCAATTAAACCATAACATTTAAGCCTCCTGGGGTCTTCACTGCGAGCCGCTCCTTCATCTCCTGTTTGTACTCCCCTCGTGCTCGTGCTCTCCACGGTCTTTCGTAAGCTCTCTGCCCTCGGCAGCCGCATCGGGGCCCATCTCTGTTCTCTTTGCTCTGCTCAAGATCAAATATCTACAGAGACACCTGCGTCTGCAGAGTCTCTCCTGTGTCAGTTTTGGTAGGCTCATATTACTCTACCATGTAAATGTTTTGAAAAAATATACAAAAGAAATAGTCTGGACCCCCTCCAACAAGGATTATAAACCAGTCGCTTCTGGTGCATATTTAATGCTTTAAAGATTTTTAGCACAGTGACATGGTAACCTCCGAAGCTGTGCAAGTCCTGACCTGAAGGAATTAGACTCTCAGAAGCGCTAGGCTGAGCCATAACAAATGGCTCATCCACGATCCTCGAAGCAGGAAACTGGAATATTACTTTCGACAAAATAAATTTTTAAAAATATTCTCTACATATCCAGTGCTATACACATTGTTGTTCATATGAGCTTGGTTTTTGCAAAAATGATGAAATCAGGTGTTTCTATAATATGGTTTATTTGTGTTGCAGCAGAGTTAGCTATACATAAACATAGTTCTTATTTTGAAATTAACACTGTGTGTTCAGTTTCCTTATGGGCTTCTGAAAGTCGCCATCTTCCTTACGTGGAGCTCCATTTGCTATTATAATTATACAATATGAGGTAAAATGAAATAACAAAAGAGAGAGAATACCACTGTGGCTAGATACACACACACACACACACACGGATGTATGTAGCTGTGCACACATAGACATTCATGTAGGTACACACATGTATGTAGATACACACACATATATGTGTGAGAGAGAGAAAGGGAGAGAGAGGCAAGCACATCTTTGAAAAGTAAAACTCAGCCCCATTCTTCAAAAAGTGATTTTTCATGTTGGAAAATGTATATGGTTTGATATAGAGCTGACTAGAAAGAGTCCTTTCTCATGTTAATGTATTCACAGAACTGAATTCTAAAAAGTTGCATACATCCAAACTTTCTACAGCCGAATGTCTGAAACTGGACCCATGAGATTCAACTTTAATCACAAAAGTTACTTAGGTCATCTAACTGAACCTGGAGACTGAATTGCAAGGGGAAAGGAAATATCATTGAAGACTATTGTTTAATTAAAAGGATTTTAAAAGAGTGCATGAATTCTGCTTCTTGAAATAGACAACAGTCATGGGGGAGGAAATGCTATGGCTATTTTTGCATTTTTAAGGTTGCTGTTCTGACATGATTATTAGAGAAAAGTATCTTATTTTGGCATACCCAGGTGTATTGCATTATGTGACCTGTACTTTGAACAGTAGTTTCCCAAAGAAACGCGCGTATGGAGTTATCGGTTGGTTGATTTCTTGTGAAATAGTCATAATAGAAGCAAAGTTTGAACAAAGGACTGTATTCTAATGTAACCTCTTACTATTACTTTTACCATGTGTAAGATTGACTTTAGGAATCATAGATTTACCTAAAATGAAAGGGCCTCAGATGCAGTGATATTTAGTTAACACTCTGTTTTGGAAAACACACAGTTAGGAGTATTTTGTATCTTGGCAGATTTATTTAGCAGACACGCTTTTGAGTTCTGTTTCGTCTTTTCCCCAGATTTTTTCTTTAAAGGGAAGATGGTTTTTATCACCAAAAGTTTTGATGAGTTTCTCATTAAAGTGGTATTTTATATTGGGCCAAAGTTTCCCTGTTCAGTATAAATTTGGTAATCAGCTGTGAGTATATGTAGAATATTTGATTTGCAAAATTTTTTATTGGTTGTGCTGATTTATAATAGATACAGTTTTATCATCAAATGCAATTATTCCATTCAGAGATAGTGAATATATTTTTTAACTAGAAATTTTCTTGGAAATGCATGCTAACAACGTGAACCATTGAACTTGGGCAGCGGAATAAAATTCTAAAAAATGCAAGTATCTGATTAATTACTAGTTGTGATTTAATTAAATAGAAAATCTTAAATGCAATTAACGTGGAAAGGAATTCTAAAAAATGACCCTTTTTTTTTTGCGGTATGCGGGCCTCTCACTGCCGCAGCCTCTCCCGCTGCGGAGCACAGGCTCCGGAAGCGCAGGCCCAGCGGCCATGGCTCACGGGCCCAGCTGCTCCGCGGCATGTGGGATCTTCCCGGACCGGGGCACGAACCCGTGTCCCCTACATCGGCGGGCGGACTCTCAACCACTGCGCCACCAGGGAAGCCCGAAAATGACCCTTTTACTAGGGCAGGAATTGTGATCCATTTCCCAGCTTTAGTTATTTCTGAGAAGCACGTGAGAAACCAATGTTGGAAGAGAGACCAGGTTTTGAATTAGTCACACACCGTTGTCCTCCAGCCTGACTCTTCTCTCAATGGAAAAGCATCTGTGCAGACAATCACGGTACTGCTCGGGGCGACTTGTTCTCACAGCAGCAAAAACAGAGCTAATTCAGAACTAGATTTGTTCAGTGTAGGTTTCCTCTTTTTAGCATGCTTTTCAGATATTATGCTTTCTTTATTTTATGCAGTCAACCTCAGTGAATTTTGCTTTCTTGGTATATTCAAGCACAGTAGCTATGTTTGGACATGATACACATAGATGCATAAATCCTTAGCTTCCTGGATTGCTTAATAGATTTAGTTTTGAGTATTATGTTGCTGGTCTTTTAACCCACAGTAAGGTTTGAGTTTTAATAGGACTAAGTGATTCACCATGCCTTGGCCTGTGCCTTTATTTTAAATTCTGTAATTTTACCTCTTCATTCGTATATTCATTGTTTTGCTTTCTTAACTATAATTAAAAACATTTCAAGGGACACATCCATGGTTAATTTTATCAAGTGGTTTGAGTTAGGATCATTCTCTCCTTATCAGATTTCTATCCCTTATTTTATTTCATTCACAGTCACCCTTGTGACCATAACCGATGAACTGTTCAGATTCAGTCTTTTTTGCAAGAACTTCCAAGAACTGTGACACTGATTGTGATGTGATTTTGTTGGGTTTTTCAGGTACATATGCATGACTTAGATTTTGAAAATCACTTCTATCTTTGTATATTTCCAATGTATTTGCTTTCTACACTTTGCTGATTTTATTCAGGATTTAATTCTTTAAAAACATATTCATTTAATCACCTTAGTGTATCCCTTCTATTGCAAGTATTAATCTGATTTTAAAATCACTGTACAATGTTAATTAGCCGAGTATACTGTCAGTGATGGTTTCCCAGGCTTGTCTCTAGTGCATGACTAGCATATTTTTACCTTTGCATTAATTATTTATCCTGATACACATTTTGCCAATTTCTTTAAACACTTAAGTTTAAATTAGTGATACCCAATGCAGTGCTTACACTTTCTGTTTTTTGTCTTTTTTTTTTTTTTTTTTTTTTTTTTTTTTTTTTTTTTTTTTACTGGATATTTTGGTTGTCTGAAGCACTAGATACATTTATGTGATGATAAGAATAGAAAAAAAGGAAGAAAACAGTTTTGATGCTGTTCTGGTTCTAAAGTGAAAAGATGGGACAAAGTGAAAGACAAGAAACACGTTTGAAATCCAAAGAAGCATTACTACCTTCACCCGAACTCTAAGCTTTTCCCTTCTCTGACTGACAGTGGAAGGTCCTGCAGAGCTGACCGCCCTGAGAGGGTGCAGGCCCGCGTGTACCTCTGCTGGGCACGGGTTAGCGTTACCCCAGGACCCAGGCCGAACTTCCAGCAAGATCACGCTTGCCAATTAGGGTAGTCGGTTTCCACACATCAAGGTTCAGCTAATATTTTGGAGGAACCGTACATTCACTGAAGCTTAAGTGGAAAGGTTTTATTCCTATAGCAGGATAAGTTTTAAAAGTATGTTATCCAGTACCCTAGCCCACCTAAAATATCACCCTATCCTGGGCATTGCAGCTTTTGTTTTTTCTTTAGTTCCCGGTCTT